CCGAGTCCTGGTTGGAAAAAAAAAAAAAAGTAGTAAACCTGTAGATTTAATAAGAAACACAGGATATACTTCTAGTACAGGAGAGGGGAGATTTTAACCAACCTGGTAAAGAATGAATCTGGAAGAAAAGAAAATTTCAGTGTTATATAGTAAATTGTTCTAGTACATGGAGTGTTGAAGTTACATATGTGAATTTTATTATTTACTTTATATTCAGTTCAGAAAATGGTCTCACCCTTTTTGAAGCGACACAACAGCAGCAGAAGAAGAATCAGTAAAATTCCACAAACAAGTCCAACAATCAAAAGAGTGAGAAATGAAGAGCTTTCAGGCTCAGGTGCTGCTGTAATAATACCAGGCTTTAATTAGACGTATTTATACAGATTCATCCACATAATTTAGGAACATTTTAAAACATAAAATATAGTACTATTTACAATATCACTATTCCTAATAAAAAGTGAAAGATTGCACTTGTTTTACACCATCCTGCTCTCTGGTGATTATTTACCTGAATAGCGATAATAAGAAAACTTTGATCTGAATGTCACATCACCTGTTCATCACTCCTATCTCATATCATTTTGATTAGTTTGTCATTTCTATGGAAAATCCCATGAGAAAGAAAATTTTATCTTCTCAACATGGAGTAGGACTGGACTGGACAAGAAATTGGCCCTGGCACCTGTGGCCCATGGCCCAGCGTGACCCCCCACCACGATGCCGCCCTGGGCAACCGCCCGTGTTGCCCGTATCAAAAACCGCTACTGTGTCTGGCACTACTTCCTCCCACAATTCTGATTCATGCGCGTGAAAATTGCATATTTTAAAGCACCACCAGTTCGCTTTGAACGTGCTTCGAGGTGCGAATGTGCACGCGACCAGCTAGGGGCGTCTGGCGCTTTTTGGTCGCGTCTATCACGTTCGGTGTGAACGCACTGTAACAGAAAGGACCAGGATATGCTGAGTAACTGCATATGAGAGCATGAGAGTGGGAATGGATGTCTGTATCTGTGTGTGTCTGTTTGTCTGTGTCTATATGTCAGGTTGGGTATCAGACGCCACCTCTCTGGGGACATCTCAGGCCCTCCAAGGTTTGGAGGCCTATCTCCCCCC